AGAATAACCTCTGACCTACTTTCGCTGACCGCCTAGTGTACAGTCATTCTCAAGCAGCTAAGTCTGGTACATATTTTGGGGGGAGACAGCTTGAGGGAAATCCTTCTGCTCCCCAGATACCCAATAATCAAAGCTTAGGTCACCTTGAAGAACTTGCTGTTGGAGTTATGGATGCCAAGGCAATTATGGTGAGGGCTCAGAAGAAAGTGAGTTCTTCAACTCCAGAGGTGCCCGGCATAGTCTTCCCTTTGTTTTTCTAATGCCAGGTCGTTGTCATTTCATTATGATGCTTGGCTTGGTCTTCTTGGGCCAGCCTTTGAAATCTGTTCAGCCTTTTACTTCATCATTTCTTCCATTTGCCTTAGACACTCTGCGTTCAAGAGCAAGTTTCAGAGTTTCTGCTGATGTCTGTTTGGGTCTTTTTGTGTGTTTCCTTTTAATGACCTTTTGCTTTCTTTCATGTATGATGTTCTTGACACATCGCGCGATCTTCTGTCATTAGTGTTTAATGCATTAAATCTGTTCTTGAGATGGTCTCAAATTCAGGTGTGATGTTTTTTAAGGTTGTGCTTTGGCACTCATGGACTTGCTTTAATTTTTCTCAGCTTCAACTTGAACTTACATATAAGCAATAGGTGGTCTGGTTCACAATCGGCCCCTGGCTAACTGATGATATTGAGCTTCTCCATTGTCTCGTTCCACAAATCCAGTCAATTGATTTCTATGTATTGTATCTGAAAAGGTCTATGTAAGTAGTCACCATTTATGTTGTTGAAAAAAGCTATTTTCAAGAAATAGTTATTTGGCTTGCAAAATTGTATCATGCAATCTCCAGAGTTATTCCTATCACCCAGGCCTTATTTTCCAACTAGATCCTTCTTTATTTCTACTTTTTGCCTCCCAATAAACAGTAAATTCCAATGCATCATGATTGCATGTTTGGTCAATTTCAGAATGTAGAACTTGGTAAAAATCTTCAGTTTCTTCATCTTTGTATTAGTGGTTAGTGTGCAAATTAAAAAAAAAACAAAACATTTTATTAGGGGCTCATACAACTGTTATCGCAATCCATACACACATCAATTGTGTAAAGCGCATTTGTACATCGTTCTCAAAACATGTTCTCTCCACTTAAACCCCGACATTACGTCCTCATTTTCCCCCTCCCTCCTTGCTCCCCCCTCCCTCATGAGCCCTTGATAGTTTATAAATTGGTATTTTGTCATATCTTGCCCTGTCTGACGTCTCCCTTCACCCACCTTTCGGTTGTCTGTCCCCCAGGGGGGAGGTCACATATAGTTCCTTGTAATCGGTTCCCTCTTTCCTACCCACTCTCCCTTTACCCTCCCTGTTTCGCCACTCACACCACTGGTCCTGTAGGGCTCATCCGACCTGGATTCCCTGTATTTTCAGTTCCTATCTGTACCAGTGTACATCCTCTGGTCTAGCCAGATTTGTATAATAGTTGTCAGTGTATCGATGTTATTCTTTCCCTGGCAGTTTTGTACTTCAGGATAGATGTTGCAATGTTCTTTTTGGTGATTAAAACAATGTGGTTCCTCTTCAATTTATCATTCCTCAAATAGTATATCATGATTGTCCAATTCAAAATGGCCATTACCAGTCATTCTAGTTCAAAATTGAAGATCGCAGTCTTCAAGAATTCCATTTCATCTTTGCCAACTTCCAATATCTTAGATTCATATTTCTTACATTCCACGTTCTGATTATGAATAGCTGTTTTCAGCTGTTTCTTCTCAGTTTGAGTTGTGCCACATCACCAAATGAAACTTGACTCCATCCGTGCCATTAGCTTTACTTGACTTTGAGGAGGCAGCTCTTCCTCCAGTTGTATTTTGAGTGTTTTCCAAACTGCGGTGTTCTTCTTCCAGCACTATATCAGACAGTGGTCTTGCTGATGTTCTTAAGATTTTCACTGACTTTTCTTGTTTTAAAGTAGCTCTCCAGGTCTGTCTTCCTAGTCTGTCTTAGTCTGAAAGCTCTGCTGAAACCTGTCCACCAGAGATGGTCCTGCTGGTATTGAAATACTAGTGGCTTCTAGCTTCTCAAATCACACTTAACATGCAAACCATCACAGCACAACAAATTAGCTGATGAGCGCTGGACAAACTGACAAACTAAGGGTGGGCAGTAGAGACCATGGTGGAGGGGTGTGCCCAGAGAACACTCACATTCTGTCATTCAGTTGCTTGCCAGGGGGGGCATCCCATTTCTAGTATGTACATCCTCCTTCCTTGACCTCTATCCCTGCACTGACTAGACTGTTCCCCCTCTGGCCAGTCCCTTGCAGGGCTGGGACATATTATGATGGAGCACAAGAGCGCTGCATGTTATGTCCAAATGGAACCTTTCAAAACGAGGAAGGACAAATGACATGTGAACCGTGCCCAAGGCCAGACAGCCCTGGAGCCCTGAAGACCCCGGAAGCGTGGAATGTGTCGGAATGTGGAGGTAAGGATGCCATAAGCCCCTTCTTATGCCTCTAGTCTCCAGCGTCGTCATTTAGATAGGAGTCATAAGCAGCATCTCAAGGATTCTGATGGACACCACACAACGGGCTTCCATGTTGAGTTCACTTTCAGCCTCTGTTGCCTAGCACAGTGCCGGGCACATGCTGGAGCAAATACATGAAGATGAGGTGGGCTCCGCTGGCAGAGGGAAACATGAAGTGTGGCAATTGCATGCTTATTCACGGTAAAGATTTCACACTCTGAGACCCGAGTGACCTTGGAATATGATAAAATGGAGAAAGTTGATCTGAGTTTTCTTTTTTCTTTCCAGCTGTGATCTCAAATTCTTAGATTATTTTTTAATCCTCCTGATTATTCTGTTAAAACTGAGACCCCCTTCCATGAAGTTTCGAACCATCTCTTATAAAACATTAACCCTGAAACCTAGCTCCGTTGGGTCCTGTGAGCTTAAGTTCTGTTTTTGTAACTAATTGTCTTCCTTTACATTAAATGGAAGGAGGGGCAGGTGTGTCAATGCTTTGTTGGCTCATGTAGAAGGTGTGACTTGCCCTGGAAATGTATACGTGAAGTTCATTGCAGTGTGCCCAGAAACACCCAGAAAACTGTCTCCGCCCTTCTTCTCCAAGGACTCTCAGGCCCAGTCTTCATCCCCACCTAAACTCCAAACTCAACTGTAGTACTGCTTCTGGTTTGTGTAATCAGATCCTTCGATTGAGTGTGTGACACCAACAATATCTTATCCTGCTGTGAAACCTCAGAACTTCAGGCCGGACTTACTTAGCATCTGTTCACCTTGTGGGTGACTTTATTAAGATGTATGAAAGAAGGGGCGTCAAAGAGTCCATTGAAAATCCCACTAGTCTACGGCCATACCACTCTGAACGCACCCGATCGCGTCTGAAAAACCCCACTACCTTTCAGTTCCGTTTTTCCATGAGCTTCTGTATAGTCAATAATGTTAGTAATAATAATAATTGCTGATATTATTGAGTGATTACCTATGCCAGGCATCATGCTAAGTATATTGCATGAATTATTCATTTAATCACTAAAGCATTATGAGGTTTAGTGATTCATTCACTCGAGGTCACACAGTCTAAAGGTGGAAGGTTTGGAATCAGACCCCAGGCCTGCCAGGCTCCAGACTCTTTAAATGCCATTATACTTTAACTTATAGGTACCCCCTCCAAACCCACTACCGTGGAGTCAATTACAACCCACGGTGACCCTATAGGACAGGGTCGAACTGCCCCTGTGGGTTTCTGAGACTGTCACTCTTCAGGGGAATAGAAAGCCCCACTGTTCAAGAGGAAAGAGGAGCAGGAGCATGAAAGACAGCAGGTTTTCCCAGCATCTTGCAATGACAAGCTAGCTTCTGAGAAACAGATGCTTTTTAAAAATGCCTTTTGTTGTTTCTGGCTGAGCTCCTGGTCCTAAACTTACAAAATAAGAATGCTTCAAGTCAAATGCCACTGGGTCTCTGTCAGTGTGGAGTGGATGGGGGGATTTATACATCCCAGGGCAGACAGAGTTAACTCAGTGCCCGGACTTGGTAACCGGGGAGACTCTCCCAGTCACGCTTCTAGAATGTTCTCAGTTGGGTGAAGGTGTGCAAGAATGAGACCCAAGTGGGTTCCAGGGCACGGGAGCCCTTCTCCAGGGGCTCCTGCATCCCGAGGACGCTGGGCAGTGTGCAGCCTCAAGCCCGAGTCATGCCCCAGCCTGCGCTGGCACTCCACTCCTCGGTGTCTGACTTTGCACTGTGCTGGGCCTCCCGTGTCACCTGCTCAGGGTCAGTGGCAGGGCAGGGCTGACTCTTGGTGCCCTTCTCTCACTGAGATGGGTGCTGTGAGCAGCCCAGGGAGACCGGCTGGACCATAGTCTGCTGTCACGTGCAGGCAGGTGGAAAAGGGTTCTCTTGGGAGGCCTTGTTCAACTAGGTGCATTGGTCTCCTCAGGTCTGTGCCAGCCTGGCGAACGCTCCACAGATGGCTTTGCTCCCTGCCAGCTCTGTCCCCTGGGCACATTCCAGCCTGAGGCCGGCCGCACTTCCTGCTTCTCCTGCGGAGGCAGCCTCCCCACCAAGCACCTGGGAGCCACTTCTTTCCAGGACTGTGAGACCAGAGGTGAGGCCTTGGCAGCACAGAACTTCCTTTCGGAGCCGTCGGGAGTCAGGCCCGAGTGCCTGTGTCCCAGCACTGGGGCCCCTGTCATGGTCTCCCTCCAGCCCCCTGGGCCCCTCGGGCAGGGCTGACCGAAGGGGGGACAAGCAGGGAGAGACGACCAGGTTCTGTACACAGGATTCTGCAGTGCTATTCTCCAAGCTCCCTGCACCCCAACGCCCTGACCTGGAGCGACCCCTCCACTACATCCCCCAAAGTGCCACCACGTCCCTCCCGACTCAGCTCACCCGTGACTGTCCGAGCAAAACTGTGCTCTGGGGCTTCCAATGGCTGGCTTTCCAGAAGTAGACCTCTTACTTCAGAGGCCCCCTCTGGGTGGATTGGAGCCTCCCCCCGTCCAGTTGTCGGCCCAGCAGTTTGCCGACTTGCCGCACCCAGCGGTTCCGAGGTGCCCATCTCCAGTCCTGCATCCGCAGTGCCTGCCGCCTCTCACGACGCCCGCGTGCTCTTCATCACGACTTGACTGTGCCCGCCATTGGCGCCTGGCTCTGGGCAGCGGTGCAAACGCTAGGGACTCACACAGAACTCGCTCCCTTTGTGCCCCCCCCCCCACCCCGCCCCATGTCGTGAGTCACGAGTTCTGTCCCCCACCCCCCCAACCTGGCTATTTGGGGAATCAAGTGTTGATTAGTCCCAGATTGCGAGGAAAGCATACTTCGTTGGGAAATAACGTGTCTTTAACGAGCTGTAAAAACGTTTGCTGTGTTACATTTGTTTTGATAAAAATAAAATCTTTCCCTGCTCAACCTCTCTCCCCCACAGTGCAGTGTTCCCCTGGACATTTCTACAACACCACAACTCACCGCTGTATCCGCTGCCCAGCCGCCACCTACCAGCCTGAATTTGGGAAGAACCATTGTGTTTCCTGCCCAGGAAACACCACAACGGACTTTGACGGCTCCACCAACCTAACCCAGTGTAAAAGTAGGTCTCTCGTGGGCTTTGCACAACCCAGATGAAGCGGGCCGGTGCCTGGGTGCCTCTCGGCGTGGGAGGCCCACCTCCGCTCAGAACCACCTGACCTTACCAGAGGCCTGCTGGCTCTCAGGTGTGCAGATCAAGGCTGACAAGAGCGGCTTGGCCCACGGGCCTTCACCTTTATCAAGCCTGGCTTCCTCCCTGGCCATGAGGGTCTTGATTTCTCCCTGGTGGCATCGCTTCCGGTCAGCCCCATTCAGCAAGCATCGTTTGGGAACCTGTTCTGCTCTGAGCCGTCTGCTGAGCACACACCTGCAGCCAGGCGGGGCACAGGCTGTGGGGATTGCAAAGGAGCAGAGGGCCGTGTGGGAGGCGAGGGCAGGTTTCTAAAGGGCAGGGTAGGGGTGGGGGTGGGAGAAAAGGCTTTGTGCCTTCCAGAGCCCCCTGGGGAACAGCACAGACCCCGGAGAGTGAAGGCATTTCGGGAGCAGCCAAGCGCTTAACTGCTGGCGACACCCAGGGATTCCTGTGGAATAACAACTCCAACTTAATAGTGAGGAAAACCACAATCACGGCCATCACCTTGCTTCTACACGTTGACCTGCCAATTCTAAGCTTTGAGCTCTTGGCGGGTGAGGATGGTGTGACCAGGAGAGTCGGAGGCCCACCAAGAGGAGCGCCTCGAATCCCCTGCTCAGGAGGCTGGTTGGCAGATTCCGAGTCTGTGCGGGCAAACCATCCAAGGACTTTTTGTGCTGCTTGGTCTGACCACAGTGTCGAATCCTCCGCTGAAGGCCGATTGCACAGCTCACGCTGGCAGCCTCGTGCCGCCTGTAATCAAGGAGAGCCAGGGGTCCGACGCCAGGGACGATTGAGGCTGAAAGGCAAGCGGTCCTTTGAGCGTCGTGATCTGAAGCTTGTGTAACTCTCTCTCTGGCCTGAAGGCAGCTGGTGCGGGGTTTGTTTGTACATCACCCTGACAGGAGCTTTCTAGTCTCCTGTTGAATGCCTGCTCTGATGAGACACTCACTACCTCTCATGGTACCCTTTTCTGTTGGTGGACGAGACTTTGGGGATGCTCACAATGTGAGACTCTCTAGGGCTCCCCGTTCCTCCCCTTCCAAGGAGTCCGCCTGTTCCTTGCTTTTCCGTTTGCTGCTGGTCTGTGCTGTCTAGTGAATTCCCACTCGGGACGACCCCGGAGGACAGAGGAAGGTTTCAGAGCTTTATGGAAGCAAGTGGCCACATCCTCCTCCTGCAGAGCAGCCGGGGAGTCTCACCCCCATCTCTCAGTTAGCAGCCCACCCACCACAGACAGCCCCGGCCCCTGCTGGCCCGGGCGATCCCATGCGGAGCAGAGCAGAACTGCGGCATCCCGTCCACAGGCTCGGACCTCTTTCGGGAAGCAGGCTGCTCGGACTCTGCTTCCAACAGGCCTGGGGGTGGGTTTGAGCTGCCGGCCTTTCATTCCTCAGCCAGATGTTTTACTGTGTGTGACACCAGGGAGCCTACAGAATAATAGATCCGAAGAAATGATCCCTTCTCTTGCATACGCCAACCGGACCATCTTAGACCATACGGTCTCTGAGGGAGCGCTCAGGCTGGTGGCTTTCTGCTCCTTGCCGTCACTTCGATGAGGGCGGGTTGGTGGGTGACAACGTGCCTGAGAGAGTGCACGCTCTCCGCCTCTGCTCCAGAAGTCAGCACCGAGCTCTGGGCCAACTGAGAGCTGATTGCATGTGTCTCTCCCCACCCAAACTGTGGTCTTGACTAGCGACTAGAAGTGGAAGAAGATGGCTGCCATTTTCTTGATCGAAAATCTCTCAGCGATTGTTATAAGAGCTGTAAGAACCCCCAGTAAAATGATCTTAAAAAAGGAAAAGTCTCTAAGAAAGGAGCAAACCATCTTAAGTGAACGGTGAGCGCTGTTGTCCCCATTTTGACAGACCTATAAGTTTCCCTGGCACTTGGCCTTTAGATCCAAATATCGAAAGTCAGCCCTGTCCTGCTGTTTCCCAAGCACCTACCCTCCTGTGCCTACAAACTATCCAGGAACCGAGTTGAATGCTACGTAGGCAGTTCCTGTAGTTTGGCTCTTCGAGGGGACCCTGGGTTCTACAGGATGGATCCGTCTCTGGGACGATTTCATTTGAACACCCCCCCCACCATGGCAACAGCAACGCTGTGGTTCTCCTCAGCCACCTGGTGATGGCTGTACCAGAGGGACAACACTGTCGCACTTTATGACACGTGGCATTTCCTCTTTCAGACAGAAGATGTGGCGGGGAACTGGGAGATTTCACCGGATACATCGAATCCCCAAACTACCCGGGCAATTACCCGGCCAACACCGAGTGTACATGGACCATCAACCCACCCCCCAAGCGCCGCATCTTGATCGTGGTCCCCGAGATCTTCCTGCCCATAGAGGATGACTGTGGAGACTACCTGGTGATGCGGAAAACCTGTGCGTCTCAATTAACCCTGTGCTCCCTCCCCTCCCCTCTACAGCCAGCTGGGAGACCCCCTTTTCTGATGACCTGCCCCCCCCAAGCTTTACATGTGAGGAGTAAAATGTCGCCTCTGCATTAGAACAGAGATGGGCCACACATGGATAGAATTCCCTAAGAAAGAGCATTTAGTCTAGAACCACGAGGTCAGCTCTCTGCTGACCCCTGTGGCAGAGGTCCTGCAGGTCAGCCTCCCCCTGCGCTCAGTGGTGTATGTTGACCGCTCCCATAAGGACACAGAGGCCAAGGCATAAGGTGACCAGATGTCCTGCTTTTGGCGGGACAGTCCCAATTGTTAACAATTTTTCCCGTGTCCTGTGGTATTTTTTAAAAGTCTCAATATTTGGAAAGAATGCACGACAAGCTAGGGTATATGGTTTTCGGCTGCCATGTGGCTATTTCACCAGGATATGAGTTTTATCAATGGTGTCCCGCTTTTGTCCCGCTTTACCAATGTTAAAATCTGGTCACCTTACCAAGGCAGCTCATGTAATGCTGGCTGAAGACACATGCCTCACCTTAGGTAGCCACTTGTGGTTGGGGACTGATGAAGGTCAAGGGTATGTGACAGCCAGGAGGGGGGCTGCTCCTCCCATCCTGACCCGTGGCCAAATGTCCTCAGAGGGACACTGTTGCCTACACAGCTCAGAGGCCGTGTGTTGAGTTCTTCTGGGAAGTCAGACTTCCCAGACCTGACTTCCAGGGTCACCTGTCGTATGTCTGTGGCCCTGAGCATGCATTCATTCTTAATCTTTTTCTGCCGCAGCTTCCTCATCTCTTAAAGGGGGCAGGGGCGGGGGTGGGAATAATACTAGCTACTTCATGAGGTTATGCTGGGGATTGGATTTTCAAACCAGAGTAACGATAGCAGGTGGCGATGCTATATATATAATATATATTTGCTGTGAGTCCAAATTACCTGCATGGCAGTAGGATTTTTTAATTCTCATTCATGGGGTCCCTGGGTGGAGCAAAAAATACGTGTGCATGACCACTTTTCAGTGCTGGGGAGGTGTAAGCTCAGCCACAGGTGCCTCAGAAGAGAGGCATGGCGGTCTACTTCCCAAACTCCCGCTCCGGAAACCCTGTGGAGCACCGCTCTACTCTGACACCCATAGGGTCTATGGGAGCTGGAACTGACTTGGTGGCAACTGGTTCTTTGTGTTTAACTCTTACTGAAGGTTAAAGCGGTGGTCTAAATCCTGGCCTGACTGCCTACTGGCAAGGACTGGAATCTCCTGATAAAAGAGGTGCCAATTGCACCAACTCCCTGGGTGGGTAGGGAACAAGCATGCAATAATTGCTGGTGCTTATTGTGCGATTACATTTGGTCACCGCTGACATAGGAGGGTCCTCTCCCCCATGAGCTGATCAGCCTGGGCTGCAGCTGTTTGCCTGATCGCTCCCCTTTAGGCTTCGCCTTCCCTGGGGCCCCACGGCCCAGCTGCATCCACTTTATTATCTCCAGCACGTTGGATCGTGTTGATGGTTCAGCTGGGCCTGAGCGTCGTGTGCTTTCTTGTTGGAGTGTGCGCACCGCCCGCCTGCTCGGGGACGAGCCTTGAACCCCTCTCCTCTCCTGACTCCCCTTGGCAGCGTCCTCCAATTCTGTGACAACGTACGAAACCTGCCAGACCTACGAGCGCCCCATTGCCTTCACGTCCAGGTCAAAGAGGCTGTGGATTCAGTTCAAGTCCAACGAAGGGAACAGTGCTCGAGGGTTCCAGGTGCCCTACGTGACATACGATGGTAAGTCCTGCAGCGCTCAGGCTGGGGGGGTGGGGTGGGGGTGGGGTGGAGAACTGCATGTAGGGAGGGTTTAACCAGGATATTGTTGTTGCTTTCATTTCTGGAGACAGGCTGGGTAATATCTATATATAGTACCAGTATGTTTCTTTTAAAAGAAAGAAAAAACAGATCCCCTTTCCCTCAAACCTAAACAGTGGTCTGAGTGGCTTAAAAAAAAATAACAAAAAAAAAAAAAAAACAGAGGAGGAAAAGTAAAAGTGAAATGGACTTGGAGTCTTTAGGGACAAGTTCATTCAAACAAAGAGCAAAAAGTGATTCTTTGCTTGGAACTACCTTTGAGCCAGCGGGTGGATTGTGGGCGGATGCGGGGCGGGCACACCGCTGGCTCACAAGTGACACGTTTTAAACAGGCATCTGGGGGCACTGATCACAGGGATGAAAAGACAGTCTATCCAACACAAGTGGGAAATAACCCAGAGCCTGGAGTCAGGCAGGCCCGGGACTAATCCCTTCTGTGACCGTTGTGGGAGTCACGGTCTCAATCAATAGGATGGTCGTTAGCTGCATTCTCAGTGGGCCAAGCCACCAGAAGTACTCGATGTAGTGTCTGACACAGAGTCATTGCCCAATAACGATGCCCGTGCTGTAGTGATGACTTCCAGTACATGGAATCCTAAGCTCTGGTCCTCCCCTTGCCACTGACTTGTTCGGGTGACCTTGGGCAGTCAGGGGACGTCTGAGCTTCAATGAGGGGTGGCCCTCTTAGTCTGACTCTGATTTACTAGTAACATGAAATTAGCGGGACTTCCCCGACAGGATATCACGGTCTAGTGAGGGGAACAGTCAGTCTGTTCATTCATGAATTGAGTTAGTCCATATTTAGTGAGATCTTCATTATCAGGCATTGGGCTAAGTGCTGCAGACAAAAGGGTGAGTGGCAGAGACACGTAAAAATATGAGGAGTGGATGATATTTGGATTGTGCCCCAGTAAAATGGTGACATCGATGAGGGGGGCCTCACAATGTTTGTGGGGACATCCCATTACCATTTCCTTCCATTTCCCCCCACGGACCTTTGAAGCCGCTCTCGTCTCTGTTGCCACAGATGCGAGGCGGGCTGTGTAAAGATGCTGTGTGAGCACACGAGGGGCCGCGCTCAGCTCTGCATGCACTTTGGAAGGAGTCGGGCTAGGTCGGAAAAACATTTGGGTGTTGAAGAAGAAAGATTCGTGTTTTCGGGGCAGAAATGGGAAGAGCATTCAGGAAGAGGGAATGGCAATGGCCAAAGATGGACACGTGAGAGGGACTGGCATGTGTGGGGACTGATGAGTATTCCAGGTTGGCCAGTGAGTGGGTAGGGGCAGTGGAGCTTAGCAGCGAGCGAGGCATGTGACTAGAAGGATGGGGTCCGACCATCAAGAGCCTTGAATGCCAAGCTCAGAAGGGCAGACTCAGTCTTAGAGGGAGCTCTGAAAGCTTTCAGGCAGACAAGTGCCAGAATTAGATGTGTTTGGGAAAGAAAACATTCTGTGGCTCTTCCTAAAAACATTTCACATAGTTTATTTCCAACATGTGACATCATCATCTTTGTCTACCAGTTGCCTGAAAGGATGCCAAACATTGAAGACAAATGATTCCCCCAGGGCTCGGCTGAGAGACACAGCACCTCACTCACCGAAAAGCAGCTAACAGGGTCAGGAACCACCAACACAGCAAAAAGACCCCGAGACTCAAAAATAAAAAAATCAAGCAGTCACCAAAGCTCATGCGCTTTAGTCTAGCTCTGTATGGCTGTTTGGGCCCAGCAGAGCAGTCTCTCCTGTTAGAAAACCAGTCGCAAACTGCTGCTTCGGCCAGACAGGAGACCCTTAGCTCTTCATTCAGGGTCTATTTAATCTTTTACTTACTTTTAATTTTTTTTAACATATGAGGGGGTTTCCAAAAGCCTGGGGAAAAATGGGATGAAGAGATCACAGAATTTTCCCCACAAAGCTTTTGAAGCCCCTCATGCATTTCAAGTAAGTTTCCCATCCGGTTTCCAAGCCCAGAGGAGCAGAGCTCACAGAAGGGGCAGGGGAGCTGCTGCCTCCTGGCGGCCGCAGAGTGATAGGCCTCACTGGTCCGTGCTGCTTGAGCATCACTGTGTACCAGATACATACTTGCTAAGTGTCTTCTACATGCACAGCACGTTCCTCACAATCACCTGTGACACAGGCTTGATTATTTCCTCATTTTACAGATGAGGAAATTTTTTACAGGAATCTTTTTACAGATTTACCTTTCAGATGAGGCCACACAGGTGTAGAGGTTTAAGTCACACCATGATGAGGTTGCAGAGGTGGGATTGGCCCAGGTCTTTAAGACTTCGGGTCCTGAGTTTTAAAGTTCGACATGTTCGATTTTCCATGGACAGAGCAAGGAGTCAGTCGTTCTTAAAAGCAGAAAAAACAGAGCATTTGGTGTTGGGGCGAATAGCCCTCCAGCTCTCTCACACTCAACACAGCCACCAAGGCTCCACCTCTGTAGCCAGGTGGAGATCCCGCGGGAGAAGGAGTCAAGATCAGAAGGCGTGTACTCCTACACATGCTCTCTGTTCACTAACCTGAAAGGATAAGAAAAAAGCTACCACAATAATAGAGAACCAGCCATATGAACACCTCACTACTGAATTAGGACTCGTGAGAATTGAACTAGCAAGGTCCACCTGCCCTTTCTTGCTTAAGAGAAACTTTCCAAGATTCTTGTCTCTCCACCTTCTATACCCACAGTTTCAATGACATTCTTTTTTTTTTTTTAATTAATCACTTTATTCTGAACTCTTACAGATATCATAACATCCCGTGGTTCAATCATATCAAGCAGTATTGCATAATTATTACCACAATCAGTTTCAGAACATTTTCTTTTTTCTTTTCTTTTTTTTAATCAATTTATTGGGGTTCATACAATTCATCACAATACATAGATCAATTGTTCATACAATTCATCACAATACATAGATCAATTGTGTTCGATGACATTCTTATCACCTGTTTGGCTTTCTTACATATGATCTGCATACAAAGGGGCATTTTTCCCCTCTGTCTGAAATTTAGGAAAGGCTGCTTTCCATATACTTGAGTTGAATTATAATGAGAACCATCTACTAGCCTTTAAAGGGGAAGTACTGACAGAGAGGGATGGCAGTACACACTGGCTATAATGCACACTTCACCACATGTGATGAATGAGACCGTGAACAGAGCTTTCTTCCCCCAACCAGCCAGAGACTCCTAGGGGGACGAGCCCAGTTCTAGCCCCGCTCCCCCACTTCTACTCAGCCCCATTCATTAAAAGGAGGGAAGAGTCACGTTTGGTGGGGAAGAAGCTGATTGCTTAGCATGGTGTTAGGACAGAAAGCAAAATAAGGGAGAGGGGGGGATGAGAGAAATATGGAGGAGAGAAATGCCACGAGTCTGGATGAGCTCCCTGGAGCAGCCAAGAACTGAAGCTCCAGGCAATCAGGAAGGAGAATGGGAAGGAGCAAGCAGGGAGGGAGGAAAGTCAGAGCCTGGCGTCCCATCCCAGGAGCTGAGTGAAGACACCTCAAGGCCAGGGGCGACCTTGGGGGGGTGGGGCGGAGGGGAGTGGTGCTGATGGCTGACCAGGGAGATTTAGCAACATGAAGGTGACCTTGACAAGCAGTTTGGGGGAACCACAGCTGACTGGACTGGGTTCAGGAGAGAGAGGAAGAACCGGAGACAATGGGTACTAGAAATTCTTTCAAGGAGTTTTTCTTTTAAAAAGCCAAGAAGCAAAGCTGAAGCTGAAGGAGGAAATTCTGTCAGGAGAGGGAATTTTTAAAAAAAATCATGTTATTGGGGGCTCTTACAGCTCTTGAAACAGTCCACACATCCATCGTGTCAAGCACATTTGTACATATGTTACCATCATCCTTTTCAAAACATTTTCTTTCTACTTGAGCCCTTGGTATCAGCTCATTTCTCCCCTCCTTCTTCCACCCTCATGAACCCTCAATAAATCATAAATTATTATCTCCATGTCTTACTCCATCCACTGTCTCCCTTCAGCCGTTTCTGTTGTTCGTCACTCCGGGGGAGGTGGGGAGTTATACATCTTATCATTGCTATCATCCCCTCCCCATCCTCATGGTATGTCGCTACTTACTGTTCCTGGGGGGTTTATCTGTCCTGGATTCTGTGTGTCGAGAGTTCTTATCTGTACCCGTGTACATGCTCTGGTCTAGCCGGATTTGTGAGGTAGAATTGGGGTCATGATAGTGGGGGGAGGAAGCATTAAAGAACTAGAGGAAAGTTGTGTGTCTCATTGGTGCTATGCTGCACCCTGACTGGCTCATCTATTCTTTGTGACCCTTCTGTGAGGGGGGGGATGTCCAATTGTCTACAGATGGGCGTTGGATCCTCACTCTGCCCTCTCCCTCATTCACATCGACATGATTTTTTGCTCTGCGTCTTTGATGCTTGGATACTCATTCTATCAATACCTCATGCTCACTCACGCTGGTATTCTTCTTCCATGTGGGCTTTGTTGCTTCTCAGCTAGATGGCCACTTGTTTACCTTCAAGCCTGTAAGATCCCAGATGCTATATCTTTTGATAGCCAGGCACCATCAGCTTTCTTCACCACATTTGCTTAGGCACCCATTTTATCTTCAGTGATACTGTCAGAAAGGTGAGCATCACGGAATGCCCAGTGATTAGAACAAAGTGTTCTTGTGTTGAGGGAGTAGAGGTCCAATGTCCACCTGCTGGCTTAATACTTAACATATAAATATATGTATATAGATCTATGTCCCTATTATTATATGTAAATATATTTACATATGTACATGCCTGTACTTAGACCTCTATAAATGTCCTTTGCTTCCAAGTCTTTCCTCTATTTCCTTTTACTTTCTTTTTGTCCCAGTATCATGTTCTACCTTCAATCGGCTTTAATAATTCCTCTCAACTACTTTGCACTTGGTCAAACCCCACCAGGCATCCTACGCCCTCCTCACCATCGATTTTAGATCACCTGTAGTTCCTCTGCCCCTGGGTTTGTTGGCTCCCCCCTTCCTTTTCCCCACCTCCCCCTCTCCTATGTCCCCCTCAGAACCGTCAGTCCTATTGTTTTCCCCACAGGATTGTTTATCCTGCCTATCTTAGATATTTTTTAAAAAGCCTATAAATAGTTCCAGGTTGTCTGTTGACCTTTATGAATGTTTTCTGAGCGGGTCTGGTGAGGTGCCAAGCCCTGCCCCTGAAGTCCATTTTCAGGGTCCCTCTGGGACTGCATGGCTTTGCTCCCCTTGCTGCTCTGTTGCACTCCCTTCATTTCTCGCCCTGGTGTAGTCAGACCGAGCGCAGTTCCCACACTGTCTCCAGTGTTGTCCCCGCTAGCGCTAGCGTTATGGGTCAGTGAGGAGATGCCGGGTCTCGTGCTGGGGTCGTCCTTACAGTTCTCTCTGTGCATTGGCTGCTCCAAGCAGGAACATCCTCCTTGGGGCTTGCTGGACCAAGATGTGGTTTTTTCCACCCACCCCCTTCTCTCTCTCTCTCTCTCCTTCCAAGCAGGAACATCCTCCTTGGGGCTTGCTGGACCAAGATGTGGTTTTCTCCACCCACCCCCTTCTCTCTTTCTCTCTCTCTCTCCTTCCTTCTTAGTTTGCTCCCGTGTTCTGAGCAGACCCGCCCCTCTCCCCAAGTTGTGGCTTTAGTGCTGTCCTCATAGTGCATTCTTCTGGGGAGGGGGTTCGAGTAGCTGGGAATGGGGCTAGCCAAGAGGGATTTTATTTTTAATCATTTTATTAGGGGCTCATACAACTCTTATCACAATCCATACATACATACATCAATTGTGTAAAGCACATTTGTACATTCATT